AGGGTCACTGGCTGAGGGTACAGAAACCCAGACAAGATGGGACATGATGGCATTTCAGGACCCAGACACAGCCAGAGGGACACAGGCCCCCACAAAGGGTCAGGGACTGGTCCAGCCATTACTTCGACGCCAGAAGGAATGGGTAGCCCCGTGGTCAAGCCAGGATGGGCCACCTGGGTGGCAATCAGGGGAGGGTCCCAAGCAGTCAGCTTTCATGAGACCGCTCTCGAAGGAGGAAGGTCAGCAAAATGAGGACAAGGACCAGGGAAGACAAAGGCATGGGTCAGTGACACTGGGATGGAAGAGGAGGGCCCCCAGGTCCTGGAGAAGGGGCACCGGTGCAGGGCGGTCACTGCACAAGACCCATCAGATGACGCCCAGGCACGATGACCTGTGTTCTCCAGAGAAGGAGACAGACACACACATGCGGGGATGGGAGTCGCTCTAAGGGACCGGTCACCCAGTGCAGGCTTCGAGGCCACGACTGGCGGGCGGCAGACCCAGCAGAGCCCGCTGTGGGCCTCACTCGGAGCCCCCAGGCCGAGCAGTCCCGCGTCCCAGCGGGATGGCACGGGGAGCGGATTCTCTCTCTGCCCGAGGCCCTGTGTGCCCCCCAACTGATCGGGCGAGGCCCACCCACGCTGGGCCGGCATCTGCTCCGCTCGGTTCACAGACTCCAGCACCCGTCTCATCTGGAAACACTGGAGTCACGTTCCACCGAACCCCTGGGCGCCTGCGGCCCAGCCACGTGGACGGGGAAAGCGAGCCGTCACGGAAGGAGGGAAGACACGATGTCGAAACCAGAGGGTTAGGTGTGGAAAGAAATGCAGGCAGGTGCACTTCTCAGTGTGTCACCAAGGCGCCCCGCACCCAGCAGGGCTGGAGCAGGGCCCCTGAGCCACACCCCCTGGGAGAGCATGCGGGAGGCAGACCACCGCTGAGCTCTCCAGGCTGCGGGGCGGGGGGTGGGGGGGGACCCCCTCCAGGCCACCTCAGCTCCTCCTCACCATCCGTAGTCTGGGCTCGCTCGGGGAAGGCCGCGTGCCCTGGCCCACACCTTCCAGGGAACGGTCCCGGATCCTCCCAATGGGGCCTTCTGGGCAAGGATTTCCTCCCAGTTTCAAAACTGTGCCCCTTCCCTGCTGCCCCTGGGTCTGTAGGCAACGCCGGGGCCACGGGAGCCACCTGTGACCGTGAGGGTGAGTGGGGCTGACCTGCTGTTCGTGGGGAGGGCTCAGGGGATAGCTCTGGGGCCTCCTCCTCCCAGGCTGCTTGGGCCACATGGTCAACCACGTGCTGTGTGAGCTCCGGCGGGGTCGCTCCTGGCTGCCCCAGCCAAGGCCTTGCACGGCCAGAGAAAGATGCCTTCCAGAGACATGACCATAACCAAGGCCCGGCCCTGTAAACATAGCACGGGGGCGGGGCGGGGGGGGCGCAGAAACGTCAGGTCCAGACTGAGTTCTGCATCTGCTTTGTATGTCCAGCCCTGATGTCACCACTGCTGTGGCCGCTGCCTCTGGCCCTCCCTGTGGGACCACCCTCCATCCCTGGAGTCTCTCCGAGCAGGACCCCCGACCCGTGCCCTCACCTCTCTGGACCCGTGGCTGCCCACTGCCCCCCCACCCCGGGAGGAGGCGGAGCCCTGGGGGAAGCGGGGGCCCCATCTCTCTGCCCAGGCTGCTGGGTACTGCTTGAGCGCGCCCTCCAGCCCGGACCATGGGGAAGCCCTGCTGGCCGGGTCACCAGGGCTCCCAGCCCCCTGCCCCGCGGGGCTCGGTGTGCAGTCACTCTCCCTCCAGTCCTGGCCTCAGCAGGTGAGCCCCAGCTCCTACCCAGAGAAGGGAGGCGGCAGCCAGCAGAAGCCACCCAGGGCTCCCGCCAGTGCCTGCCCACCGTGGAGAAACAGGTCTCTGCCATGCTCTGGAGGCACTGAGCGGTCCTAGGGCCCTCCCGACACAGGCTCCTGCCTGGCTGTGGTGCCCCCGGGGCCCCGCCCTGATCCCCAGGCCTGCCACTGTGGAACCTCACGGACACAGACGTGAGATGGGGAGACAAGCCTGGATTACTGGGGTGGGCCCGAGGTCCCCACAAGCGTCCTCGGAGGAGGAGGAGGAGAATGAGAAGCCACGACGGGAGCAGCGTCAGGGAGAGAGCCCTGCTGTGGGGCGCCTGTGGGAGCTGGAAAAGGCTGGGACGGGTTCTGCCCTGAAGCCTTCAGAAGGCACGCAGCGTGGCTGCCAGCTGGGCCCTGGCCCAGGGAGGCTGGTGTCAGACTCCGGCCGGAGCGGCAGGATGCTGAGTCTGAGCCGTCCCAGGCCATCACACCCGTGGTTATAGGTCCGGGGGGTGGACAAGGGGGCTCACAGCAGCCCAGCCCACTGGATCCGGCCCTCCCTTTTCCTCCAGGGCTCTGGGATGGCGGCTCCTTGGCTAGACCACCCCACAGCCTGGGCGTGGGATCCTTGTCCCTCCTACTGGGACCCCCAGTTCCAGGCCGCCTGCTGTGCGGTGGCCATACTCACAGCTCACCTGAGAGACTTGCCCACACCCCGGGGATCCTGACCCCAGGTCCACGGTGAGGCTGCGCCGGCCACATCCTGGACAGAGGGGAATGGGTGGAGACGGGCTGCATGGCCACGGTTAGCGCGGAACATTCCTGTCTTCGAATCATCTGAATTTTGTTCCTTTCTGTGGCTGAGTAGTGCTCCGTCTTACGGTCAGCCGCACAGTGGACCCGCTCGCCTGCTGGTGGCAGCGCGGCTGCCCTCCCAGCTGCTGTCAGTAGGGCAGCCAGTGCGGGGGTTGGCCGAGTCCACACTCCACCCCCAGGAGTGTACTGGTGGGTCTCCCGGGGACTTGATGGCTCCCCTTTGCAGAACAGCCACACTGTTCCCCAAGGGGCAGCACCTCACGGGTGGAGAGACCTCAGTTCTGCCGTCTCCATGACCAGCCACCTCTGCTTGTCTCATGAAACCTTCCCTTCCCTCCACTGCAAGACGCATGCTGGGAGCAGAGCCTGCCTCTTCTTCCCAGATGCTCCTGGCTCCCTGCCGCTCCTCCTTTGCCCAGGCCAGGGCTTCGTGAGCTCTGCGATCGGTCCCGCAGTGTGGGCAGGGAGTGCCCCTGGACCCAGGTGGGTGGAGGAGAGGCCCACCTGGCTGCTGGGCAGGGCGGGCCCTGGTGTGCATCTCTCCAGTGCTCAGGACATGGGGTGGCCAGGAAGGCTGGGAAGCCCAAACTCCTAGGTTTATGGGGGGTGATGGTGACTCTGACAACAGCCCCCAGGAACTGTGCTTTCCTGCAGCTCCAGCACCCTGTGAACCTTCCTTCTGGCACGGGATGCCGTGAAGAACGCTGCCTGATGTGGGAGCTGGGTTGCAGCAAGCCTGGCCTGGTGACCCTGTGCTGGGGGAGCTGCTGTCGCGGGGGACCCCATGGCTCTGAGACCGCCGTGCTGCACAGAAAGGACCCACGTGGGGAGGTGGCCAGCCCGCCCCCGCTGCTCTGGCCACCCAGCTGAGCTGGCAGACGCGTTGCCCTGCGTCTGGCAGCTCAGCGGAGCTGTCTGCATGTGCAAGCCCGTGAGCCTCCTAAAGGTGCCCGTGCCGGCTGTCCCCTGACCACACATGCAGAGAAACCCCATGGCAGAGCTGCCCAGCTGAGCCAGAGTCATCCGTGCACCGAGACAGTGAGCGAGAGATGGGTGCTTCCAGCCACGACATTCTGAGGCCCCGTGTCTCGCTACCCAGCAACAGATAAGAAGACATGGGCGTCAGCTTCAAGGTCATGTGGCCAGTGCCCCTGGCTATTAGCTGTGGGGCCACAGGTCAGAGGGCAGGAGCGGGGCTCAGCCCCCTGCCCCACCATTTTTAGCGGCCCCTGGGGAGGCAGCATCTGCATTCCAAGGGGTCCCCAGATCCACCCCCAAGAAAGGAGTCCAGCAGCTGGGGCCTTTTCACAGCTCTGGAGGAACGTGGCGGGGTCGGCCTTTCTGAGGGTGGGAATAGCCGCGGGCCCTAGAAGGGAAGGAGGCACAGCTCCCCAGACTGGGAGCGCCAGCTCCTCCCCAGCGGCGCAGGTGAGCAGAGGGCCTGTGTCAGCCTCGGCCCTGGTCCCGCCCCCTTCCCGGGCCTCGCCCTTCTTCCAGAGCTGCTGTCCTCCTGGCCACCAGGCTCCCCAGAAGGGTCTACACTGTCTCCCAGCGCCGCCCGCTCAGTGGTCCTGCATGCAGCCGCCCGCCGACCCCCTCCTTCCTCCTATTGCATGCTCCACCGGGCAGCCCCGAGCGCTGACCGCTCCCGCCAGGGCCCAGCTCTCCTCCCCTGGGGCCTGACCTCGCCCCCGCATCACCCAGTCTCAGGGCCGCGGTCATCCCGCGTGGGGTGGGACAGTCGCTCGGCTCCTCCCGCCAGGGCTGCCCCACGCAGTCCCAAGTCCCCCGAGCACGGGCGATCGCGTGTCCGGTGGGTCCCCTCCAGCCACGCTCGCGGCCGCCAGCCCGCACACCCCGCTGGACACCGCCCGGCAGCTGGCTCCACGCGCTAGCCCCAGCGCGTGGATCCGGGAGCACCCCACATCAGCGCCTACCCGGCAGGTGCTACCCGCCCCGCCCCGCGCGCTCCGGCCCCGCCCCGCGCGCTCCGGCCCCGCCCCGCGCGCTCCCGCCCCGCCCCGCCCCGCGCGCAGTGAGCATGCCCAGGGCCGGGTCACGCGCCCGGCAGCCGAGGCCGGCGCGGACTCTGCCCCTGGCCCGGCTGCTCCGCGCGCTGGCATGGAGCGCATCGAGGGGGCGGCCGTGGGCCGCTGCGCAACCTCGCCCTACCTGCGGCCGTTCACGCTGCACTACCGTCAGGTGAGCCGCCCGCCCGCGCGCCTTCCGCGCGCCCCCGCCGCCCGGCCCCGCAGAGCCCCGCCCCCGCCCGCGGCCCCGCCCCAGCGGCCCCGCCCCAGCGGCCCCGCCCCAGCGGCCCCGCCCCTTGTGGAGCGCCCCAGCTCAGCGGGCGGGTGTGGTTCGAGTTCGGTTCCCAGACCGGGTCGGGACACCTCTGGGGACGACCCATCCCTCCGAGGAGGCTGTGCGGGGCCCCATCACTTTTTGCAGCGGGACGTACGGGGCGCCCCGGGGGTCAGGGAAAGCTTCCTGGAGGCGGTGGTCTTCATTATTGGCAGTGGAGGTAGAGTTGTGGCGTGAGGAGGCAGCAGCGGGATCTGGCAGAGCACTGGGGAGCCCCTCCAGCTGGCCTTCCTTCCGAGGGCACCTCCGCTGCCCCGCACACAGGCAGGCTGCGCCCCTCCCAACCCTCTCCTCCCGCCCATCCCGCGGCCACCGGCGAGAGCAGCACCACGTGACTCCCTGGGCACCGCGCGTAGAGCAGGTTGACGAGGAGTGTCTGTTGGGCCAGGGAGAAGCAGCTCCGTGGTTCGGGCCCCTCTCCTTCTGCGCAGCGGCCCTGCTGCCTCCAGCGCATTGCCGGGTGCTGGAGCATCCCCGGCCTTCCGGACGCCACTGCCCTCCCGCCTCGCTGACAGCACACGTGGTCCAGGTGTTTGATGCTCCTGTCCACTCCAAGGCCCTTCCTCTCACAGCTCTCACTTGCTCCGTCCTTGTAGCCCTGTTGGCTCCAGGGGGACAGGGAATTCACGTCCCTGGGATGGGCTCAGGTTGGCAGTGCTGGCCTGGGACAGAAGCAGGGGGTCAGCTGAGGGACGGTTCAGATCGCTGCCCTTCTCCTTGGCATTGACTTTGGGTGGCGATGTCTGATGATGGCTGTGCAGCCCCCAGGGGGCTGGGGCTGGGCTGGGGACAGTGGGTGGGCACGGGTGGTCGGGGCACACAGCGGCCATGTGGCATGTGGCTGCCATCCTCTCTCCCCGAGCTCAAGTGCGGTAGCCTGTCAGTGCGGCTCCACCAGTGGGTGGTGGTGGCGCAAGAGAGCCAGGGCAGACAGGAGGCAGTGGTGGGCCCTGGCCTGGGGAGCCCAGGCAGCGTTCCTTCAGGGGCTGTAGGACACAGGGCTGGGCTGTGCATGATGCAGAGGGACACCTGCAGCCATCCTTGGCCGGGGGAGGCATGGTAGCCAGACAGACCGGAGGCAGGTCACCGCCCCCCCCCCCAAGAAGGTTAACCAGGCCTAGGACCCAACTAGCTGGTCTGGGGCTCCTGGGGTGGGTCTGGCTGAGTCTCACTGAGCCTCTCTGGCCCGTCCCTTAGCATCCTGCCTTGGCCGGACTGAAGGGTCTGACAGACATTTTGATCTTGAGCTGGGAGGGTCCCCGAGACTTGCAGGAGGTGACACTTATCGTGAAGGAGGCAGGAGGCACAGGAGGCACTTGGCAGGCTGGGGGCGGGGGGGGCGGGCCTTCTCTGGAGTGCGTCCTGGGTGGGTGGCCGGCCCTGCGGTGGCCAGACTGCAGGCAGGCTCAGGCTTGCCTCCTGGGGTTGGTGCCTCGCAACGGCCTCCCAGGCAGCCTGACCTTCCCCTTGGAAACAAAGGCCCCCGCCAGTTCTCCAGGGCCTTCTGTTTCCCACAGAGCTCAGACTCATTTGCCCAGCGCCCCTTGGACCAGCACGTGGGCCTCTGGCCATGAAGCCCCTCTGCTTGCAATGCCCTTCCCTCGGGGGCCTCTGTGCACGTTGTGTGTGTCTGGCGCTCAGGCCCATGTCCACTTCAAGGCCTGCACAGGGCCCCAAGGGTGGGGCCTGCAGCTCTCCGGGGTCTTAGGGCTGACCCAATGGCTGAGAGCAGATGGCCTAAAGGTGCTGGCAATGGGCGGCCACAAGGCAGGTCCCCAGGGCCCTGGGTCCAGCCCCACTGGCAGAGACCCCTTGGGGAGGAGGCAGGACCAGGTGGAATGGCCACTGATCATGTCCACTCCAGCCCCAAGGATGGGAGCCCACCCTGTCTAGTGGTGTCCAGCTGGCAGGATTCTAGGCTTCTCACACACCGTGCCTGTTGGAACCCCACAAATGCCCCTCCTGGCTCCCCCGGTGGGCCTGGTCCAGCGTGGCCTCGCACTGCCTCCTCCATTCACTGATTGCTGCCTGGAGCCCTGGGAGCCCATCGGGGGGTGGTGTCCAGGCTTGGGGAGCAGGATGATGGAGACAAGCGGCAGACAACAGGCCGACAGGATGCACGAGAGACAGCCCCAGACAGAAGCTGGGCGGGGGTGGGGTCATCCCCTGTCCGGTCACCATCACTGCATCACCATGTCCGGCAAGGCGATCCCCCCCGCCCGGCTGGGGCACTCCCACTCCAGCCGCTCCTGGTGCTGGTGTACTCAGGAGGCTGGCCTGCCCCTCCAGCCTTCTTGTCTGTCTCCACTGGCCTGAGGAAGCTTCAGCGTTGAAAGCCTGATCTCTGCTCCCCTCCCCCACCCCCGTCCTGTCCCTCCCCGTGCCCCACATGGTGCTGCCCACACTTGGTGACAGCGTACATCTCTTGCAGCTCCTTGAGTCCAGCCTGCCCCAGGTGGCAGCTCACACTGGGCCTCGGATGCCTTTCTACCATGTGCTGTGGTTTTCCGCCCCACCCCTGGAGAGGATCAGGCTGTCTGTGACCTCCCTCCCCAACCTGCTGCAGCTCCCCGCTCTTGATGGGCTCAAGCCTTGGTGGGCCGCTCGGGGAGGGACTGGTGTAGTGGGTCTGTCTGGCTGGCCCAGGTTCGCAGAGCACTTGCACACATGCTGGAAGCCCTCTGGCCACCCCTGACCACTGCCCCGCATCTTTCAGAATGGCACTCAGAAGTCATGGGACTTCATGAAGACACATGACAGGTGAGAGCCCAGCCTGGCCCGGCTGCTGGGGAAGCCCTAGGCTGATGCCCACTGGGACGCTGGGGCTCAGGGTCCGGGAGTCCCCCCTCCCCTGCCTTGCTGCATCCCTCTGGGTGCACCCATGTTCTTGATGCACCCGTGCTCTCTGGGTGAGCAGGCTGTGGGCTGGATGGCAGGGAGACATGAGGAGTGTGGCCAATAGGCAGCCAGCCAGCGGGGGCCACATGTCCCGTCAGTCAGCTGGACTCAGCTGCTGCCACCCCGAACCTGCCCAGCATGTCCTTCCCCACCCCTGTGCCCTCTTCTGCCTGTGTCCTGGCCTGACTGTGGGGCCTTGGCGTGCTCTGGCCCTGCCTGGGCCTCAGTGTTCCCATCTGAGTAAGGGGCCAATTTCCCCAGACTGCTGGGGAGAGAAGGTGGGCTGGGCATGCTGGGAATAGGGGGCTGGGAGCCAAGGGCCCGGGGAGGTGAGGTGAGGGTGTTGCTTCTGTGTTGAGTATCGTGTCCCCCCCCCCCCCAAAGTGTGGCCATTCTCATGTTCAACTCTTCCCAGCAGAGCCTGGTGTTGGTGAAGCAGTTCCGGCCAGGTGAGGCAAGCGGGAGTGGGCTCTGGGGGGAGGGGAGAGGCCCCTGGGGCCCTAGGGTCAGAATGTAGATGGGGGGAGGGGCAAGCTAAAGTCTAGTGGCGGCGGGGGTGTGTGTGTGTGTGTCTAGCATCTACTACACAGCTGTGACCGTGGCCCGGCCTTCCCCAAGCAGCTGTGTACGTGGGCGAGGTGGAACGCCACTTCCCAGGGTCCCTGGCTGCTGTGGACCACGACGGAGGCCGGGAGCTGCGGGTGGCACTGCCTGGCTCAGCGGGGGTCACATATGAGCTGTGTGCGGGCCTCGTGGACCAGCCTGGGCTGTCGCTGGAGGAAGTGGCCTGCACAGAGGCTTGGGAGGAGTGTGGCTACCGCCTGTCTCCCTCTGACCTGCGCCGGGTCGCCACCTACAAGTGAGTGGCGTTGGACATCTTGTCTGCACCGCCTGGGGGATGGGATGAGCTGGGAGGCAGTGAGTGCCCCATCCCTGGGGGCGTGCAAGCAGGGTCTTCCTCCTTGTTTTTCAACATGGAGGTGGGGAAGGTTGGACAGAGAAGGCCCTCAGGTTGGGATCCAGGCTGGAACCCAGGGCTCATGGGGGCAGCTCTGGGGCACATGAGTCCCCGCCCTTCGGCCCCTAGCCACTTGGGGCCGGCTCCGGGTGGCAGCTGCTACCGACAGACGCCTCGACTTCCTGTGGTGGGATTAGGCACCGGTGCGGTGGGGGTGGTGGGAGGTGGAGTCACAGATCTGCTGTCAGCGGCTCAGGAATGAGGCTGGGGCGCAGGGGCTCTGGCACAGCTGGGGAGGGGCAGGGCTGTGGCCGGGAGCTGAGACTGCAGGCCTGTCCCCACCAAAGCCCAGGTGTTCCCCACCATGTTTCAGGATGCGACTTCAGGGTGAAGCCTGTCCATGTGCTGATGTGCTGCCCTTGGACGCCCTCATGGGTCCCTGAGCCTGGCAAAATGTGGAGCCGGAGGACAGCCCCCTGCACGGCACTGAGCATGGCCCCCCGCAGCCTTCTTTCCAGGGGCAGCGGCCTGCGCCCCCGGGGAGGGGGCCGGTGGGGAGCTCTGCTTCGCAGCCTGGTGCAGGGGTCGCTCAGTGCTGGGTCCAGGCCCTGTGCCTCAGCTGCCCAAGGGCTTTGTCAGGGTGGCTCCCGGGGCTGGGGGCTGGGGGGCTGGGGCCGACCTCCAGGCCAAGGAAGGGACGGAGCCAGGGCATGGAGCCCCCACGTGTAGCACTGGCTGCTGAGTGGTTGAGCATGGTGGTCTGAGGGGCAGGCCTGCTCCCCGCAGGTATCTTGCTGCTGGTGGCCAGAAGCGCGGGAGGGTTCTGATCTGGGGCTGGCGGGGGAGCTGGCAGGAGGCAGCCCGGAGGGGTGGGGGACCCATGGACGAGCGGCTTTCCCCCCGCAGCGGTTCTTCAAGCAGGGTCTTGGGGCTCTAGCCTGATCCCAAGGGTGCTGGGGAGCCCAGGAGGACTTTGGGCAGCAAGCAGCCTGGGAAGGCTCGCATTTTACAGACAGGCTGTGGCTGTGGGAGGTAGGGCTGAAGGGGCTGGGGTAGAGGTCGGGGCAGGCGTCCCTGGGGGCAGGACAGACAGCAGATGCTTCCTCTTGGAGCGAAGGAGAACCAGGGGCTCCCCTGCCCGTCACAGGGGACAAGGCCCAGGCATTCCTCCTCGATCGCCCAGTGGAGGGTGGGGCTGGGCACGTTCTACTTGCCCTGGGTCAGCGTCTGTACCCGTCTCCTGCACGGGCCGGCAGAAGCTGCGTCTGGAAGCCCCATAGACTGGTGCTTCTGTCAAAGGTGCAGGCCACGGCCCCCGCCGGAAACCGGCCGTCAGGAGGGACTGTGTCAGCAGGGGGAGGCCCGACTGGTTGGGGTGCCCCCTCCTGGGAGTGGGAGTGGGGCACAGAAGCCCCCCCCCCATGTGCTGGGCCACCAGCGAGAGCAGCCCCCACCCTGCAGGTCTCTGGGCGGTCTCAGACACCTTCGGGTCCCCATCTCCCGACGCCCACTCTTGCTTGACTCCTCTGCGGTCCTGGGCTGCAGAATGGCTTGCCCCCTCCGGCTGCCCACGCTGTCTGCCACGGCGCTGCACCTGGCTGCCTGTCCCCCTCCTGGTGGCTGGCAGCCCCCTCTGGCCACCAGCCACCTAGGGAGGGGTTCCCTCTCACCCCTCCACACCCCTGCTGCCTCAGCAGGAGCCATCCCCAGCCTGGAACTGGCGTCCTGGCGGGGCTGGCGTTGGGGGCTGTCTGAGCCTGGGCCACACGGTTGCCACATGGATCCTTGCTTCCAGCCAGCACGGGGCCCTGGGTGCCAGCTGGGGTCTGTGCTAGGAAGGGAGGCCCTGCACGAGGGAGCTGCAGACCCACACTGCAGAGATCTCTGGCTTCTGTTGACCCCCATTTACAACCTCACAGTTGCCGTGGGTCCGCTGTCTGCTTCCTGGGAATGGGGCCTGGTGCTCAGGGGCTGGCCACACTGTGGTCAGGGTGTTGGCTGGGGCCGTGGGCTCATCTGGGGTGCAGGGTCCCCTTCCCAGCTCATGTGATTGTGGCAGAATCCAGCTCCTCATCGCTGTGTGGCTGACTGAGGGCCCTGTTTCCCTGCTGGCTCTTGGCCGGGGACCATGGTCCGCTCCCTGAGGCCACCTGCAGGCCTGGACCACGTGGCCCCCTCACGTGGCAGCTTGCTTGGTCTACAAGGCCCATAGGACAGCGTCTCTGACGACTAAGCCTTCACTGAAGAGCTCACCTAATTAGGTCAGGCCCACCAGGATAATCTCTCAAGCTGGAAGTCAGCTGATTAAAGCCTTCAGTCACACGGGCGGAGTCCTTCCACCTTTGCCACATGACATGAGAGCCACAGAAGTGAGAGCCACCATGAGGCCAGGGTTCTGCCACCCTTGGGGGTGGCAGGAATCTGACGGGGGTGTGGGGGGGCATATCCTGGAGCTCTGCCTATCAGACAGGTCTCCCGGGCAGGAGGGGCTAGAAGGAGGGCCGGAAGGGCCACGGCGGCCCGTGAGGCCTGTGTGGCTGGTTCCGTAGAGGCCGTCTCAACCCGCAGGTCTGGTGTGGGACTCACTGGCTCCAGCCAGACTATGTTCTACGCAGAGGTGACGGATGCCCAGCGGGACGGCCCGGGCGGGGGCCTGGCGGAGGAGGGTGCGCTCATTGAGGTCGTGCACCTGCCTCTGGATGGTGCCCGCGCCTTCGCGGATGACCCAGCTGTCCCCAAGACCCTCGGTGTCATCTTCGGCATCTCGTGGTTCTTCAGTCGTGTGGCCCCTGGCCTGCGTCCCCAGTGAGACTCCAGGGGCCCAAGACCAAGGCTACTTCTGGCCACTTGGCCTGCAGATGAAAATAAAGGCTTGTGTGGCTCTAGCCTGTGTCTGCTGGCTCTGAGCTGTGACCGGGGTGGGCTGGGGTGGGGGGTGGAGGGACAGTGGGTCTTTCCCAGATGGGCCCTGGGGGAGGGTGTGCTCTCCACGAGAGCCTCTCATTCCACTGAGAAGCCTCTGGCTGCTGGTGGGGCAGGGACGGCTGTGGGCGGCTGGTGGCGGGCAGGGAGCTAAGGTCAGGCCTTAGGCGGGGTCCCGGGGAGAGACAGGGAGGATGGTGCCTGGCCAGGCTACCTGCTGGGGCAGGAGAGGTGGGGCTGGGGGCTCAGCTGGGCCAAGCGCTCAGGCAGGACTGCGTGGTGGGCCACGGGGCAGCCGTATGGCTGTGGGGGTGCCTGGGCTGGCCCTCAGAAGGAGGGACGGAAGTGCAGGCTGTGCGTTCTTGAGGGTACACGCTCCCGGCTCCGGGGCTGGGTTTCTTCTCCGGGAGCCCAAAGCCAGAGCTGCTCTGGATCTGGTCTCGTGCCCCCAGCAGCCGTGGCATGCCCTGGACTGTTGGGAGTTTGTGCCGAGATAACGCTCTGCTCGCCAATCAGTGTGGGCCCGTGAGGCCGAAAGACCCCCGCCACGAATGCCGGCCTGTCTTGCGGGTCAGGCACTACGGGAGCTGCCTCTGTGACCCTTAAACACTTGGGGTCACAGGAGCGCTTGGTGCCCACTCAGCTCCACACCCAGTAAGGCCTCCATAGGCAGTGGGTGGGTTGGAACCCATTGTGGAGGGGATGCGGTGATCTTGGGCATTTGCAGGATGGGCTGGGGAAGCTCCTGGAGGGAGGGCCAGCCTGACCTGTCCCCTGAGCCCTCCAAGCTCTCCGGTTAGACCCATGGGCGATGCTGTGGGTGAAGAGTTGTGGCAGTTTGGAGAGGGCAAGATGTCCGGGGCCGTTTCTGTCATAGGTGGGGACTGGAGTGACCAGGAGCTTTGTTGCAGACCCCACTTAGTGCCCTGAGCTGCCGTGTCTGGGACTGGGCCTCAGTCCGGCATCGAGGCGAATGCTGGGGAGGGCCATGCCTTTGGCTCTCACTGAGACCCCACCGTCAAGTGCGGGCACCTCACGTGGGCTGAGGTCTACTTGCCTGCCTGGAAGCCCTGCTCCGGCCCCAGGCTGACCCTATGCAGGCAGGTGTTGGCTCCTGAGCATGCCTGGGGGTGGGGGGCGTCCCTCCCTTCCTGCTGGCCTGGGGAGGGCTTGGGGCTCAGGCAGGTTGGGACCGGCACAGTGCAGACCGCCCCTGGGCCTGGCGGGGGAGGCTGCCTGCAGAGGGGGTGCCCAAGGGGCGCACTCAAGCAGCACCACCTGTATGCAAATGCTGGCTGGGACCCAGGTGGGGCTTCCCGGGAGCCCGGCCAGGTGAGGGACGAGGAGGGGCCCTCGGGCCTGCGGCCTGTGCCCAAGGGGCTGTCAGGGCTGGGCTGTGGCAGGGTCCCCAGCAGCCCTGCCCCACCCTGCCCAGAGCCGTCCGGAGACCAAGTCACAGGGCCGGGACTCCGCCCAGCCAAGAACCACACCACCCCGCCTCCCCTGCTCGCGGCCCGCCTGGTGCCTGCCTCTGGAGCTCTGTCCTTCTTGGCCGACCTGCAGGCATTGCCCACAGCCTCAGAGCGGCCTCTGGCAGGTATGGGTGGCGCCGGTGGCTCTGTGTGCCGTGGGGAGCAAGCTGGAGGCGCCGAGCCGGCAGGGTGGGGGGTGAGGGACAGAGCGCCCGGCCCCGGGTGCGGTCCAGCCCCGTCATTCTGCTCTGCAGTCCGACGGGGCAGGTCCGCAGGCACTGCTGCTGGGCCTAATGGAGCTGGCATCGATTTCCCGGCACTGGGGGCTGGCGGGGGGGTTGTAACCGGAAACTCCCCTCCCTGGCCGCTATATTTAGCACCACAGATCGCAGGCGGGCGGAAGCACAGCTCATTCCAGAGCCAAGCCAGCTCCGTCCAAACTCCAGGCAGCCAGCACCCCAGCCTGGTCCTGAAGGGCCCCTGCCAGCTTGGGGGCCTCCACCCCATCTCGGCCTTGTCAAGCGCCCAGCTCGGAACATCCTGAGAGCCCCTCTTACTGGGGAATGCAGAGAGGGAGCCCCCAGGCTAGGGGCGGGTGGACCTGGGTGGGAGACAGGTGTTGGGATCCAGCGGGCCCCAGAGCAGGGACGGGGGTCTTCCTGGAAGAGGGAGAGCAGCCTGGCCCAGCACGGGCAGAAGTAGGAGCCCGAGCCCCCATCAGATCCCCAGCCCTCCAGTCCAAGAGCTGCAGAAATCCCTATGGGGGGACCCCAAAGGGGAGGACCCAGCTGCTCTGGGCCAGGGGGACCCAGGTCCTGCTCCCAAAAGGCCCGGAGGGAAGCAGATGGGGCCAGGCCACTGTCTCCCTAGCTTTGCAGGACAGGTGGGGGCGCTCTGTACCCCCAACCGGGGCTGGCAAGCAGGAAGGGCCCGGGGGAGGCTGCCTCCTTGGACAGGCTGAGCTTGAATCCTGCGATGGAGTGAGCATCCGTCACTGCTGCCTCCAGGCCGAGGCCTTTCCGAGCGGGCGGAGAACCGCTGCTGGGACACGGTGGCTTCTGCAACCCACCGCACAGCCAGTCTCTGGGCTGTCCTTCCCGCCCACAGCTGGCCGTGGGCAGGAAGCTTCGGGGGTGGTTGAGGGAGGGGCACACGGGGAATTGTTCTCTGGACCCCGCCTCTCACTTTGCTAGGAATTCCCCCTGCTCCGTCCCAGGTCCCTCCGCTGCCAGGCCCTGGCTGGGTCACTGGCCCCTCTCACTTGCACTGTGGTGACCTGTGGCCTCCCTGCCCTGACCTCACCCCCTGCTGCCCCTCTCCCTGCAGCCAGGGAGCTCTGGGAAAATGTAGGTCACTGCTGTGCAGCCCAACCCAGCTCGGTTGCTCTCTGTACTTCCCTTGGTCTTAGCATGAAGACCCATGGAGAGGCCCAGTGCGGCCCTGCACTCATTCCCACCTTGGCCTCACCTAGGCCTGCCCCTCCCCTGCTCGGCCTCTGCCACTGTGTTTCTCACAGGCCTTCACGGGGGTCAGGCCTCCTCACCCCGGGGTCTTTGCATGTGCTGTTCCCAGCTCCTCACCCGGCTGACCCTCGCCTGCCTTTGGGTCTTAGCAGGCCCCCTGTGCGGTTTGCCCTGCCTGCCTCACCGTTACAGTTTGTCGTTTTAGCTCTGTTCACCCTTGGACTGGGGGCCCCTCAAGGGTTCACCATTAGGCTGAATGCTGGGCAGAGGCACCCAGGGCTTCCCTGGATAGTGGGGCAGCGGGCATGGACAGGGATGGAGCCCTGATCCCCTGGAGCTCTGTATGTGTGTGTGTGTTGGGGGTCTCCTGACTTGGGGCCTGGAGTATATGGGTGCCTGCTTCCGGGCAGGGGCAGCAAGAAGGAGGCATCCCCACAGTGGCCGTGGCGGCATCTGGAAGGCTCTGAACACAGATTGCCTTCCCTTATTTGGAGGCGTTGGCTGGCATCCTGCCCCCTCACCCCAGCAGACAGAGGGGCTCAGGCCAGGAGTGACGGGTGCCGGAAGCAGAGCCGGGCCCATCCCTTGGTGGCCCCTCAGGGGCCCCCCGATGCCTGGATCCTGGAGGCACTGCTTGCGGGCAGCAGCCTACACCCCGTGAGGGGGTTGTGTGCTCAGGGCATCCGGGCCCCTTGGGGACTTGGCCGCACAGCCTGGTGAGAAAGAGGGCTGCGCTTGCGCTCCTACCCCCTTCTTCGGAGCCGCTTCTCCCAGGAAGCCTTCCGTGCCTCACCCTGCCTCCCGCTGCTGCCAGCCACGGCAGCTCCTAGCTCCAGACAGGGACTGCACTCCTAGCAACCAGTCCCCAGCAAAGGGGCCCACGACAGACTCGCCCAGTTGTTGTGGCGGTGGGGCCGGACCCTGCGGACCTCGGGATCCCTAACTGCCCATGCGACCCGCCTGCGCCAAAGGGGCCCTGCTCGCTGGGACGAGGAGCCCTTGGAGTTGACCCCGGGTGGGGGTGGGGGGCGGCGCGAGGTTACCCCGGCAGAGGGCAGCACGGTGATGGTGTGGGGGGGGGTACGTGGGGACCTGGTGACCGGGACAGCAGGAGGAGCCTCTTTGGGGAGCTCCCACCTCGTCCTTTGAGCGAGCACCGCCGCCTTTTATTCCCCGCTCGCTCCCCAGCGTCCCCGCCCAAGCCCCGTCTCCGGCCCGGGCGTTCCGCGAGAGCGTGGCCTACTCAGCCCCGCGCCAGGGCCGACCCGGCACCCAGCTCGCGCCGCGGAGCATCTGTTGCCGGGCAGCCGGACCCGCGAGCCCTGCGGCGGGCCGGCAGGGGTGTGGGCGCCGAGCAGCGCCCCCTGCGGCCGGCGCGGAGGCGGTGGAGGCGGCGCGGGGGGGGTCCTTCCCTGGGGTGGGGTCCCAGGCCGCGCCCACCCCGCGTGGGGGCACGGCCCTGATTTGTGCCGGAGGCGGCTTCTCCCCCGGGACGGCGGGGAGCGGCGGCGGCGCACTGATGGGAGGGGACCTCGGCGGTGACCTCAGGGGCGCCCCACCCCCGGCTGCCGACACCCGGCGGGGCGCGCGCGAGGGGAGGCCGCTCGGCCGCGCCGGCCCCCGCACGCCGGCTGGGGCGGGGGCGTGGCGGAACCCCTGCCTCTCCGGGCCCCGGCGGAGCGCGCGCCGGTCCCGGCGCGGGCAGGAGCGCCCTCCGCCGCCTTTAAAGCCCGGCGCCCCCGGCCCCCAGCCCCACCCCGCGGCGCGGCCCCGCCCCCTCATGCATATGCAGGTGCGCGGGTGACGAATGGGCGAGCGAGCTGTCAGTCTCGTCCCGAACTTGTTGGCTGCGGGCGCCGGGAGCGCGGGCGCGCAGAGCCGAGGCCGGGACCCGCCGCCGCCGCCGCCGCCGCCGCCGGTGCCGCCGCCGCCGCGAGGGAGGGAGCCGGGCTGGAGAGCGGCTGCCTGCGAGCACGCGCCGCCGCCGCCCCGCGCGCCCGCCGCCCAAGCCCTAG